TAATCATAATAAAAGTCATAGAAAAAATTATCGTTTTAGAACTTAAAATTTTCGCTACAACATAAACACATTCACATTATTCTTCTATCAAGATCTGCGGCAAGATCTTAGACACAGGGAACCAAAAAAAAACCTACAGATGTCATGTATTTTATTTATTAATATTAAAACAATGTTTAAATATGAAATTCATTCTATATTTATTTTACTTCAAGATTAAAAATAGAAATACGACATATTTTTTATCAATATTATTAAATAGCGACAGCCTTAAAAAAACTTGTATCGAACCGTAATTTATGTTTACGTTTGTTTCTAATTAGAAAATTTCAGAAGTACTTATTAGTTATTTAAATGAAAGAAATTGTACGTTTTCATCTATTCAGCTATCCTTACTTTTTTCGGTCTTTTTTCTGAACAAATTATGAAACTTCTTCTATTAAAAAATAAAAAACACTCTATTTGGTCAGTATCTGAGTGATTCGAAATATTCGAGTTCCACATTTTAGCCCCAGCGGGGCTGCCCTGACAAGCTTTTTCATATTTTTTTGTTTAATCATTGTTCTCTTTTAAACAGCGCAAAAAGAAAAAATGTAATGAAACGGTTTAAAAAGCTTATAACCGAACCGAACCGAAAAACAATTTAACCGAACCGATTTCGGTTCGGTCGGTTCGGTTCGGTTCGGGTAGAAATCGACTTTAGTCGTATCTCTGATCGTCACATTACTAAATTTTTTAAGAAAAAAATAGGTTCAAATAATAGCACTCAACCTCAATTACATCATTTTTCAGTTCTTAAATTACTTAAAACATATTTACGCGCTCGACAATCTCTGAAACATGTCTTAGTGATTTAACTTTGATAGTATATATTTGTCGAGAGATTCAATCGCCGTTTAGCTTTTTAGATTGATTATGCAATTTTATTTCTAGAAAAGTTGTTTTGTTTGGATAAAATGATAGGCATATTATGAACTATAATTTATATATTTTAGAAAATCTTTTTACTGCATCCGATTATGTCATTTAGAACGCGCCGCCTCCTCTCAAAATTCCTGGATCCGCCACTGCGTTACTCATAAGAGTTTCAAGTGTTGAACTCAATTTTTCTTTTGTGAAAATTATTCAAAAAAAGATTAAAAAATATCTATATAGTCTATATTCAACTAAATTATATAAGAGTGATGTTTTTTGAACCTATAATATTAAACGACCATATTAAGAGCGAATATTGTGTTATGAACCTTTGTGAAAATATTAAAATTATTTGTTAAATGAACTTGTTAATTTCGTATCCCCAGACACATATAATATACGACTTACAAGAACATTAGAAACCGATATTTCATATGTCGGCTATTACGTAGTGTTTTTATTTTTAAACTTGCTTATCGTATTTTGCGTCTTTTCCTATGATCAAAAAATATGTTTGCTAGAACCTTTTTCGTTCTCTTAAATAGAGCATTTCTTACTTCTAGAAGTGCCAAGAAGTACGCCCCTCGTAAAGGACGAGATTAGATAGGGGTTATATGAACCACTGGACGTCCGCTCATAAGTCATAGAACAAATGAACATATTGTCGTGACGTAATTGGACATATAGTGCTAATGGACACCCTTGTATATGACGACACATAATCACCCACTGAACAATACGTAATCGTTCCCTGTATCCTTTTCTCCCTATATATCTTTTTGTCTCTATGTATCTTCTCTCTCTATCCCTAGTATATAAACTCGCGTTATATGTGAAATAGGGAGTAGTATAAGAGCGACAGTGTTGGATAGTATTAGAGCAGTAGAAAGGCCGTTGAGTCGAGTTCACTTCTAAACAAGTCAAGTTAGAAGAAGATCGTGTGGAATTGTTGTTAATATTATACACACAGTGGCTAAAATATATAGCTGATACTGATCTACACTTTGTTGTTCATCATCCTATCAGGATATATACGCAATTCTATATATCTCGATAGTTATTTGAAGAATATTTACGCGACCTAAATATTTTTCCGTTACAGTTTGACTTATAATTAATAGAGCAATAGAAATATATTGGAATGAGGAATAATTCTCATTTAAATAAAGAGTATAGAATAACTTCATGAAATATTATATGTAATTTATACAAAAACGATTCAATCGCAAACACGTAGCAGAGTATAATTCTGATTCTGAAAATGGTATACGTAGACTCAACCTTCTAGCAACGCATTGAGGCAGTTAAAAAAATTTTAAGTTGTCTTATTTTTCTATAGTGAATAAATGGTCCAAAGAACGAAAAATCCTATATCTCTTATCAATAACATTAGCATATTGAAATGCTGCATACAATTGGGTTAAGCTGAACAAAGACGTTATATCTATATTATGAATGGTGATACAACGATATATATTACTTGTCTGCTCTAACAATGCTGAAGTCCATCATTCATGAAAAATTATATATTCAAGCACATTATTGGTATATGTTCATTAGATTAAAATATTGGAAACCTTCACCTACCATTGAAAGAAAAACAGAGCTTCATTGGTACAGTAATCAATTATATATGTTTCTTTTCTTCTTGTCAATTGTAAATAAAAATAATGTCGTTTTTTCTCTTTTTAGTTGCTCATTTAATATTATAAAATTGCTCAAATTAAGTTTTCTTATTGCTCGATAGTTATACTGCTAAATCATATTTATCATATTGTTCATTCCAAAAATTTTATCGCTGACATAAATACAAGCCAATATCTTTTATTATACTTTATAAATTATTCTGTGACATTAGCAGAAATATTAACTAGAAGAGAAAGAGTAAGAATAAAAAGAAATCTCTTTCTCTCTCGAGTATAGCTAGTATATGAAGTAATTTCGAAAGTTTCGAGCAAAATTCTTTGAATAGATCGTTATCTCTCTCAAGCGTATTTAAATTCTATATTTTTGCAGAAAATCAAACTTAAATAATTACACCTAGTTAACCCAAGCAGACATGAAAAAGTCATTCAATCGGAGTTTCAAGTGATGAACTCTATCTATCTATTTCTTTCTTTTGTGAAAGTAGAACATATTAAACGATCAAAAAAAATGGTATGCAAAGAGCATATCTTGAGGGTATGGGTGTATCGCGTGATAATTAATCGAAACTCTTGTAAGTAGTACAAGCAAGAATGTTTTGGACAATACCAACTTGTAATAATTTATTAAATAATGAGTTTACAATAAAACAAGATAGCAATATTGCGCTGCTAATAATAGGGTGTGCATGTTTCTCAATACAAGTTAAGTCTAACACTATTTACATTCCGATAAACTATTTCTTCGAACAACTCAAATTTTAACTACTCTCTGACTTATAGTACTGCCATATTCCCCCCAATATATCGTGAGCTTATATACTAGCGAGAGAGAAAAGATACACATAAAAATTACGTACTATATTTAGTTTTCTTGATGTCCATCTGTTGAAATCCGAAGTAAATGGAAATGTAACAGCACACGAATATCAATTTTTTTCTAGATCAATTATATTGTACACGTACGCAAAAAATTGCTCAATATTTACTACTTATTTTTGAATCAGACTTATAGATATGATTAATGAAGTATTTACTAATGAAAATTTAATTCAAATAATTTCTTTTCTTGCTTATTTTCCTGAGGAAAATTATGATAGATCAGAAAATTTTTTAGCAAACTATTTCTTCATCAATTTTAGTGTTGGGCTATCGTTGATATTGAATTATTAAATATTCTTCTTCTGACAACACTAACTGAAAAACATCTAGCACTGCTAGAAAGATCTCCTGTTTTAACTTCAAAGCTGTGGGTGTTGATGTTCTGGACACCCACACCCTCAAGTTCTTCACTTTATGAATAAATTTGTTTCCTTGACAATTTAAGAAAGCTGAGATTTCAATGATTAGTGTATTATCATTTATTTCTGAACATCTATAAATAAATATTTAGCAGCTTTCTGAATTTATTTTGGGTGTGGGTGTCCTGAACATCAACACCCACACCCACCCCTTTCCTTAATAGACGAGATTAGATGAATCTCACGATATGAATATATTGAACCAGCCTCTTGTGTAAACTGAGAAAACAATGAATAAGTGCCATATAGAATAAAGTCATGAATATTGTACATAATATATCAGAAAAATACTATTCAGAATGATGAAATGAACTAAAAAGATCGATATATTGTTAGTAAATAGATCTCTATTAATCAATGAATTAGAAAAGCGTCAATTCTTTTATTTTTCTATTAACTGAAAAGGACAATTGTAAAAAGTCTACGAATTAAGAAGTGAAGTCAAATAATTTCGAAATATTCCCTTGAAGTGAAAATACGTGTGTACGTATGAAAAAGATTCATGGTAATGATGAAGAAAAATCTGAAAACGTTCATCCTAATTTTATAAATGGAAGTAATCTTTGAGGCAGGATTTCATTCAAAGCAATTAATTATTCAGTGTGATGTCATTCGACACCATAAAAGATGTTATTTGATAGAGAAAAAATATAAATGACTTACCAGATGCTGCTGGAGTCAATTGCATTTGATTCATAGCAGATGCTAATGGTTGATCATTATTATCATCAATTTCAATTAAATGTACAATGCATGAACTATTCGATTGAGCCAAAGGATCACCATTCACACGAAATTCGGTACCCATTCGTAAAATAACTTCATCTTCACTTTCATATTCTGTATATCCAGAAACTTTTTTTCCATTGAGAGCTTCGATTAAGAATAGAGTTGATTTTTTGTTGCCACCAAGAAAATTCTTAATTACGTTCGGTGATGATGAACATGAATTAACACTCCACCACGTCACAGTTTGATTTCTAATGAAATTCTTACCAATATCAATAGGTACACCTCGCCATACTGCTGCTTTGACAGTAGGTAGCTTATCTAATGCTGTGTCAAATAGTTTCATGTACGGAAACCATATCTTTAGTGCTTGTCGATTTTCTGATCGTAATGCTCTATTCAAAACGCGATACAATGTAGTATCGCCCCATTCCATTGTATAAATATACACAGCAGCAGATTCATCTTGTGTTAGTCCATGTTCTGATGGGAAATGGCAGTGTTTTTTAGCTATTTTTATGTAATATGGCAGTTCATCAATGTGAGGTATGATAGGTTCTAGCGCTTTTTCAATAGAAACAAGTTTCTCACTACGATAACCATAAACAGGCGGGAGTCTTTTATTTGAAGTATCGATATCACCAAAACGGTTCATTATACCGATATTTTATTTGTTGTTGAATATTGATGAAAAAACAGAAATTTTACAAATTCCACACAATTGATAACAAAGATTTTGGTCTAAAATACGTTGATTAAAATAAATATACTATCAAGATATTATCCTTCGATGTACAATATTAGAAAAATGAGTTAGTTATTTTTTGCTTTTTAGTACGTATTTTATTAATAAAGAATCTGTTCTCAACCCATGGAAAAATATCAACAGAGAGAAACGAATAAGAACGCATTCTTTTTCAAGAACAACATATTCATACAACTTCCGAACTCGTTTGGGGATGCTTGCATATTTTGATACGAAAATATGTGTTTCCAGATCATGATTCACTACTGTAGATTTACTGGATATTTTACACGATAAAAAATTATACAGGAAACTTAAAAGCTAATTTTCTCCTGAAGGAGAATTATAAATTTTTCTGTACGAAAAACAAGCATTTCAATCTCGGGTGTGGGTGTGGGTGTGTGACTGTATTCTTAACTCAACCACACCCACACCCACCCTCCGTAGCTCGAAATTAGACTTCACCGCTGATAAGATAATACTGAAGAAATCTCAGAAGATCCTGCTTTGAGCTATGAAAAATCTCCCGAAGCCATTGAATAGATCTACTCAAGTTGTGTTTCGATCACGAATGGAGTACTTAGAACAAGCCCTCTGACGAATATGGCGCTAACAGTTCATAGAAAAACTACAATATTCTGAGATTTCCAGGGGAACGGAAAATATGATTTTACAATTAGATGAAATTTGTTGAGATCTGCTTGATGCATGTGTGTGAGAGTCGGAAAATTGCCTGAAATAAATATGCTCAGATTTTACAAAATAAATTCTTGAATGTTTTTTGATTTCTCGAAAATTCAGGAGAACACCTCGATATCAAGTTAATCCCAATTATACTATTCGATAGGACCTATGAAATTCTACGAGAAACAAGACTGTGCGTGTTGGAACATTACCTCAAAAGAATACGGGCAGGTTTCACTCGAATGCGATGCTAACTTCAACAATGTGTGAAAATCACAATTTTTTCTATGAAGAGTAACAATCCTATATTCCTTCAATAAGTATCGTGTTTCAAATCAGAAATCCATACAATAAATTCCAAGAAGAGAAAATTGAATAGATTTTAATGAAAGAAAAATTCTATTAGTACCCAAGACAATCATTCCGACCGTCTGAACGAGTATCTTAAAAGGGCCTGAAACGGCTATAAAACGATATAATAAGGCATTCATTTTCACCTTATTTCGCCGTAACCCATCAGTTCGTTTTACGGACCATTTTTAACACTATATTTATCGTTTTCTGTGCTGACGGAAAACGGCGCCGTTTTTCAACGTTTTTACGCCGTTTACGATAGTTTACGCACCGTTATCTTGACATGGGTAGGATTCAAACCTTAAAAAATAAAATAATCTGACTAAATCTGTCATCAGAAATTTAACTAGTTTTTATTATCAATTTTATTATCCATCACACAGAAATACTATAATTTTCATCACTTTTTAAGCCCGCGAAATCATTTAACTAAGATTTTTTTATGAATTTTAAACATGGGGAATATACAGATAGAACATCAAAATAAACCATAACACGTCCACAGCTCTCTATTGCGCAGAAAACTCCGAAATCCAACTGGGAATTTCTGAGCTACCCAAGAGCATTCTCAAAAATCAGGCCATAACTCACACACTATAGAGCTTACCTGCGGATATGATTCATTCCAGTTTATATGGCAGAGACGTCTATCAATCGATCTATCGTGAAGGCTCTCATAACCTACACAAGTCTGTTATTTCAGGCATATCCCCTGCTAGAAACTTAAATAGTTAATATAAAAAAATCATCGAAACACCAAGAAATACTGCCTGAATTAACAAATCTTTCTCAAAGTTATAGCGTGAGAGTACTGCAAACTCTAGCTAATATAATGAATAACGATTACACTTGCTAGCTACTAACGCAATAACACTGAAATTTATTCACAAACCAAAACTCTATACTCCATGGTAATCTGACAGCTCCTACATTATTTCGTTGGTTTCTGCTTGTGATTTCTGACACATCTCCAGAATTCTTCACAGGCTTTCATCTGCTTCCATCCTATACAGAGCATCCGCCAGAAATCTTATCGCTCACGGCTCATTTTCACTAAAAAAATCCAAAAGCAGGATTCCTGCATATTAAACCGATATGTGCAGGGGCTCGGCATGCGCCAAACTCAAAGTCAAACTGTTTGGGAATTTGAGTTTGGGTTCCATTATTATAGTCAATTTAAATAAATAACATGATTCTGAGTTCAGATGTATGCTAACCATTTTATTAGATTATAGGGTTGATCTATTATCTATATGACGTGATTATTGATAGAGTTAGTATGCACCTTTGATATTCTATATGTCCAAGATACGAAAATATGAGCGTGAATCTTAACAATACTTGCCATTGCAAGCCTCCTTCATCTATGTAAAAACCTCTCTGGGAGGAATCTTTTAAGAAACATTTCAAGGAAGACTTTTGAAAAAAGTGTCTCACAACACATGCTTTTTCTAATGCGCGTGAGAAAAACGATAGTTGTTAAATAATACATGAACCTTAGGAATAAATAAATCAAGCTCTGCTTTATACTAAAAACGATTATGCTTTGCAACACATTATAAATATATTATTGAATATATAGTTAGAATGTTCAGAATAAAGGATCTAATTATGTCAAATCAACTTGCTGGACACGACAGTACACTTTTTAAAAAATTGAATTTTTCATAATAAATATAAGGTAATAGAATTTAGTAAAGTAGTAACCTTTTATTCTGGCTGACAAGAATTTAACATATTAATTGAAGTAAAATCTTCAAGACATAGTAATAGACATTGACATTAGTACATAGATTTGAGATTCTCAGCACTTAATCAGAGTAGAAAAATCGGAAATGAATGGGTGTCTATCATGCCCTGTCAACATTCCTTAGTATTCTTTGAACGGAATGCCAAAAAGTGGTCAAGAAAGGAGCTGTCTCTTGAGATGAAAAGATTTTTGCGCTCACTTACCATTTTTGGATTAATTCAGCTATCTGGAGACTTAGAGTAATATTCTCTTCGTTTATGTACTCATTTAGTATTTATGGTTTCGCTTCTATGTCTCGTTCATTACGATTTTGATTGCATGTCTTTTTATGGCTAACTACGCTTATGTCCTAGGTTTATCATAATTGCTCTTTAATAAATACCTTTTTATGCTACTATACTCCACTTTCTTTGCAGAAAGTGAAGCATGATAGCAAGTAGAAGTAAAACATTCGTTTATGAAGCGAACGAAACTTCGCATCCTTAACTCTTCCTTGTCTCTCAGTCCTTTAGCCAGAAATTTGGGTGTGGGTGAGGGTGTGGATTTTGGTTAGATTGAAGCCCTTCTTTCGCGACACGTTCATCGGCTATTTATTTCAAATGAAAATTTATGCGGTCTATTTGGAAAAAGAGGGAGAAACAAACAGCAGAGAATCGGAGAGAATGATATACATTTGTATTCTGGGTTGTGAAGACGATGTTTTTTCTTGGAATGGTTAACATCGGTGCAAGAATCATTGAATGCTACACCCGGAACGTGAATCATCACGTTGATCGTGACAGCTGTCATAAGTTCCAGAATCTCTACAATCTGGTCTACCACAATCTTGCTCGGTTTTTTCGGTCTTGTATTCACATGAGCCACGTGGATGATAGGTGAATCCTAGTCGGGGATAGCGTAGTGGTTCTATGCATATGATTATTATTAATCAGACATGTGAATGTTCAATCCCTTCCCCCGGCACGGTGTCTTCGGTATCAAGATATACGGTATCGAAAGAATAAACAAAGGAAGAACAGTACTGCACGCCAATTTCGTCATTACTACCTCGATTTTGACTTTCGTTCTGTTGTTTACGTTTTCGCCTTTCTCTTCCTTGTCATCCTTTCTCTGTTTGTTATCGTGTAGTCTTGTCTGTTGACTATTGTTTCCATAAGCGTCCACAAAAATCGCAAAAAAATATATTTAAATGGATGTCCCGAATAAATATAGTGCATAAACCAAAAAAAAAAGATCAACCCCTGTACGATGAACAATGAACTTCTTTCAACAAAAGAGTCAAAAAAAATATTTTTGTTATCGAAGAGGTATGCTTATTAGCTCTTGATTATTGATGTAACGATCTACGTGCATTAAAGTAGATTTCGAATTTCAAAATGAATTTTCCCTGCGAGTAAAATTTTCCGGTGTAGCTTCATAACATTGTGTCGAAGAGACAATTTCTATTCTAGATACTTATATACAGTATCAGGGTAACACTTTATAGTATCATAAGAATGTAACAATAAAGAACACCCGATAAGCATCAGTCTTTCGATAGAATTTGAGTATGAGTTAGCTTTTAGTTTGTGCTAGTAGTAAGATCACACTAACAATCATCATCGCCTTCCTTGCTCTCATGTTTGTATTTCATACCTACCGCAGATAAAAAATAAAAAAACGAAATGCAACTAACACAGAGAATTTTTCTTTTTGTAAACGCACTGTATTCATGAAAATTGCTAGACCGTGAATATGCACATTATAATGACAAACACACTAATTACCAATCAAGGTTAAGGTTTCACCATCTTATGAAATTACACCGTCAATAATAAATAAATTGCCAGTTAGTCATCAGTTTATTTTCAAAGCAATGTTTGTGTTGACTGCTACGAGCATGCGCTAGTGAAGTGTGTCCGCAAAATCAGATATCATTTTCAAATAGAAAAAATTCCCACATCCACTAGTATATGATTTTATAAAAACAATTATAAGGAAGGATGAATAATTTTTGTTTTCGTCGTCTTTGTAGACACTTCCGTTTCAATTTTATAATGACGAAAGGTATATTTTTTGTTGGTATATACCTGTGTCGTTTCCCAACAGTCATTTATTGGACCAAATCAATTTCAGTTGCTCT